AGCTAAGATGGCTGGGATGGTACATTTTGCAATAAACTAATTGTCCATTTTGTTGATTGTCCAGATTGTTGGGCCCCACGTGAGAGAAGGAATTTATGGGCTCATTTTAATTGTTGTGTACATATAACAAATTTGACTCCAGATGATGCGACAATCATGCTTCCTGACTGGCTAGAATTGCTTTGGGAAGAGATCCCCATTTTTAATACCAGAAGTCAGATGGGTAAAAAAATCTTACGCATAGGAAATCAAACAATACACAGTTGGCAGTTCAATAGTAAATGAGCAATCTTTAACATTTTTAATTTTATATAATCATCTTTTTTTCTTAAAGAATGGTAGAAACACTGATGAAAAAAAGTCCATTTTGTTTCCACAGCGGTTTTTTTTTTTTTTTGGTGGCTGGGTTTTTTAAAGGATAAATTTCTGACTACATGTTGTTTCTATATAATATGCTTTAAATCATGTACTTTATTGCATAGTTGTTCTAGAGAGAGCTACGTATTTTGTAAATCAGCTTCAATGAAGTGTGTATGTGATACTGAAATGTATCATGTACACCAGTACTAATGTGTGTGCATATTTAGTTTGTACATGCACATACACACTCTTCTGGGACAATTGCTAATGTGTATGTATATATGTATATTTACACAAACTTCACAGTGGAAGTTTTTCTCTGAAGCTCCTAGAATAATGGTGCATTGGTGTTTCTTCTAGTAAATAATGACAGTTCTCTCTTCAAAAGGGTGAATTAAATCATATATTCAAATGAATGGAGTGTGTATGTGTTTATAGAAGAGTTAATTAGATTTATTATACAGGTGAAATATAGAAATAGACTGTACAGTCCAGAGTTGTATAATTGAAGTATTTTAGATAGATGAAGCTGTAAAATGTTACTAGTTCTGTAGCCTGTTGAAGGTAGTTATTTGTTTTTTTTGTTTAATGTGGAGCCAAGGAGAGGAGATAAACTCCTGAAACAAGTGTCAACACTTTTCAGGTGGCTTGAATGGAATGTGAAAGAGGACTGTAATTGTTATGTTGTCTTAAAGTGATTCAAAAAAGGGGGAGGTGGGAGAGTTTGGAAAGACCTTTGAAGAGCTTCTAAACCTTTTGTTTACTAGGGAAAGCCAACACTGGATTTAGTATCCTATGTACATATCCACAGTTATATTCACAAGATTTTTGGCAGTAGCAGAGATTCCTCTAATGCAGTGGGATGGGATGATTCTTTGTGAGTGGCAGGCGTGCACATATGCACAGGTCCATTTGTGTGACCAGAGCTTTGTGTGCTCACACAAGCACCCACCACTCACACAAGTGGAGTTCCACACGCACGCTGCTTGTGCAGCCTAGTTCCAAACAGACCACGGCCTGGTATGGGCCACAGCCCAGAGGTTGGAGGACCCATGCTCTTTTAATAGTTCCAACATAGGCCAGAAGAATGAAGGAAAATGAACATGGAAAGACAAATTGTTCTTTTCCTTCTGTGATAACCTGTACTTTCCATCACTTCATGAATTCAGGGCCAATTTCAAAACTTAAGGCTAACCCTCTTGTATAATTCTACAGATAGTCCCCAACTTACAACCACAATTGGGACCTGAATTTTAGTCATAGGTTGTTGCAGTTATATGTCAAAATACCACATGACCGGACCCAAATTTTAGGTCATGTTTGCAGTCATCATTTAGTGAATCGTGGTTGTAAGTCTGAATCTAATATACAGAAAGGACATTACTTTTGCTAGAAATTCAGTCTTGGGATCATGGAGATCATGTGATCATTTTGCAATAGCCAGATGTGCTGTACAGCTCATAAAGCACCCTTTCTGAGAATGTTGTAACTTTGGTTGTTAAACAACTGATCCTTAGTTTAGGATTACCTGTACCTTGATCTATTTCTGAACCTGAACTGCAATGGACATTTTTAACTGGAAAGGGAGAATTAGATTGGGTTCTGCCAGCAAGCTTGGCCAAAACTACAGGATATAATCAGTATTATTCAAGTGAGTAATTACATTGCATAAAATGTTTCTTTTTGTCTTAAGAAAATGTGTAAATTTTAAATAATTACACATCACTGACAAATCCCAAAAATGCAAGAGCAGATTAGGAGCAGATCAGGAGATTTTAATTTAGCATTAATGCAGATAAGTTTATCTTTGTCATAGTTTTTGGAGAAATGTAAAGTAGAATAATGAGAATTTGAACTTCAAGTTGCTATCCAGTTGCTAGAATGCCATTGCTAAGTACGCATGGACAGCACTATGGTTAGCATAACTGCTGTGTAAGGACAGCTCCCCAATGGTAAATTGGCTGTTCCGCCAAATTGTTGGCAATTAACAGCTAAGGAAATCTTTCTGCAGTCAGGAAGAGACAGCACTTGTGTGTCTTAATGAAATGTCATTTTGTCCTGAACTAAATCCTAAGTGAAAATAGTTACTACCTGCAGTTTAAAACCTGGGGTGTTGCCTTATGAAATGCATTATCTATATATCATTCTTAAGCACAACACAGTAAGAATTTGAGCATAGGTTGCCAAAAGAGATGGTTATTGCAGAGAATCATTTTTGTGCCCCAGATACAGATTCTGTGCTGAACAAAGCACAGAAGAGATTTTAGTAAAGCCTGTATGATTCCATTAATAATGCACATGGGAATTTCTCCATTCAGTTCTCCTTTGATAATTTGAGATGCATTTTATTTTTAAGTTGTTTCCTTTCTCAGTTTTTTCCTGCATTTAATTTAAATTTAATGCTTTACTTTTCAAACTTTTAAACATATCTTCTGTGCATTGTACTTGGAATCCCATCTGAGTTGTATTGTCAATTGTCAGCCAGGTTCTCTGACAATCTGACTTCATTTTTAAAGATTCTTTTTAATTTAACCAATTTTGAAATTGGCATGCTCCAGCACACAAAAGACCCATAGACATTTATTTTTTTTTGCAATGGGAAAAAGCAAGTGGCTTCACCTGGGTGTTTTTTTTTTTTGGGGGGGGGGGTGTTATCCCCAATTGTCTATTTTTTTTAAAAAAAAAGATGAAACAATGGATGGTATGCCCTTCCACTTTGTCCTTTATGATTGGCCATACCCATCATGGAAGTCATTTTGTGAGAATGTTTCTAACATGCTGCCTCCTTCCCAATTTGTTCTGCTACTGCATAATTCTGAAATGGTATAGGTAGTCCTCAACTTACAACAATTTGTTTAATGACTGGTCAAAGTTGCAACAACACTGAAAAATGTGACATGACTGTTTTTCAAAGTTATGACCTTATTCCCCATGAACATGTGATTAAAATTCAGGTGCTTGCCAACTGGTTCATATTTATGACCACTGCAATGTCCCAGGGTCATGTGATCACCTTTTGCGACCTCACAAGCATAGTCAATGAGAAACCAGATTCACTTAAGAACTGGGTTACTAACTTACCAATTGCAGTAATACATTTAACTGGCAAGGAAGGTCGTAAAATGGAGCAAAACTCACTTAAATGTTTCACTTAACCACAGAAAATTTGGGCTCGATTGTGGTTGTAAATTGAGGATTACCTGTATAAGAAACTGTACTGGGCATGACCAGCTTTCCTTAGTGAAGATTAATATTAAAACTGATGTTCAAAACAGGCTTTTCTCTATTCTTACCATAGTTCATCTCCCCACCTATTGACCTTACATTACAAAAAACATGAAATATAGCCTTTCCAACTGATGCTACCTGCTTTGCTTTCAATATTATCAACTATACTTCCATAACTAGTGCACAAAGCTGGTTCTTTTGCACATGCTGTAACTACAGTACAAGGTTAAGATGCTCTTACCAGCCAAATAAGACATAAAGTACCATCTAATTTAATACTTAATTTCACATTAAACTTCAGTTGCAACTTTTGGAATGAATCTATTTTTAAATTCCAGCCTTTTGCATCTTTTCAAATATCCATTTAATAAAAAAATGAGTTTCCATTTGAAATAAATATTGGCATGAGCAATATTGGGAAGCAATTAAAAGTATGCTGTATGGTTTCTTAAGGCCTTCATATTCCAGGTAGCTTTTAGATAGTTGCTGTAAATACCATGCATTTCTTGCATTTCGGTATTCTGGTTTGAAATTAAATCATACATGACATTTATTTCATGAAATGGAAAAAAATGTCCAAGAGTATAAAGAATTTTGGATACAATTACTAGACTAACATACTAAAGAGATACAACTTTAGGGCTATACTAACAAGGCAAATCTGTTTAAGTTTACATATAAGCGGGAATAAGTACGAATTATTTTACCATTCATGTATATGTTACCCAGTTCAGATGAATTCAGTATCCTGGATAGATCCATTTATTATTAGAGCAGGGTGTATTTTACAGGTTACAAATATATATTCTTAAGTTTTCACAGGTACTTACATGTATGGCATTCAGCTTTGTTCGGGTATTTTCCCACG